TTCGGATTTAGGGTTTAGAGTTCAGGGCTTAAGGGGTTTAGGGGTATAGTTTACTGGATACAAGTCCAGGGGTTAAGTTTCGCCTATGGTCCTATGGGTTCAGCGTGAATGAGAGGCAGAGTAAAAGCCCCAGTTGTACATCGTGAGGCGATTTCCGGCAGTCTTCGTCGAGGCATGGCAACTCTCGTATGGAAAGCCGTGCTTCAGCAACTGGCATCGAAAGCCATTTTGCTTCCACTCCCCGGCCAAAGCGGCGATGTGATGCTGTGCCCCATCATGAGACATTCTGTGCCGTCATCTTGGCCCGCAATTTCAAACTCTTTCATTGCACATGATTGGCTCGGCAGCGAGCAAGGGCAGCCCCTGCCTTATCTTCGTTTCTTCTCCAATGCTGTCGTCCACACTCACACTTGGACCAGCAAGGATACAGCGTGGCACTGACCGTAAACGTACCTTGAAAGGTCTGTACGCGAACCCTTTGCAAGGCTGAGGCTACATGTATTTCTGTAGCAGCAAACAAACAGAGAGACAGACCGACCCACCGACAGACAGACATAATACATACATACTTACTACCTCCTTCTGTCATACATACATGCATACATACATGCATACATACATGCATACATACACGCATACATACATGCATACATACATGCATACATACATACCTACCTGCCTGCATACGTACGTACGTACACGCATGCATGCATACAAAAAGACATACATTGCATGTGTACAGACGAACTTGCATAAACACACATACATGCACCAATGCATGCATGCGCACATACAGGATATGTAGATAGGTATACTTACATGTGTATGTGTAAACAGATACGTATATATATACATACATGCAGACATACATATACACACATATACACATGCATATGTGCCTATGTATGTATGTGTACATGTATATGTACATGTATATGTACTGTATATGTATGTGCATATGTATAGGTGTAGGTATATGTATATGCATGTGTATATGTACATGAATATGTGCATGTATTTATGCATTTATGTATGTATGTACGTATGTATGTATGTATGTATGTAAGTATGTATGTATGTATGTATGTATGTATGTATGTATGTGTGTGTGTATGTACGTATGTCTGCAAATGTACATATATATATATGTATGCATATATATATACACACACAATCATGCATCCATTGTCTCGAGAGATACATAAAGCCACACGGAAATAAGGAGATATGGATGGATAGACTGACTGACCGACCGACGGATTGACTGACTGAGTGATGGGCTGATTGATTGATTGATTGATTGGTTAATTAGTTGACTGATTGATTGCAAACAGATAGAGAGGAGTACATAGGCCCTAGGCAGATAGGCACATGCCTGGGTAGATGGGTTTTTTTCATTGATGGGTGCACCAACACGGGCTAGGTATCCGACAACTCGATTTATCAGCCGCCATGGGAATTAGACGCATGGAGACTCGTAAGCTTATAGAACCCATGGACACTCTGGATGCCCAGGGAGCCCAATACCCCTTAATTAAGGAGTATACCTTAAATCATAGGGGCCTTTACTATTGTGTTTTAAAGTATATTCCTTAATTAAGGGGTATTGGGCTCTCCGGGTGCGAGTTCGCTCTACACGCTTAAACTCTCAGAACTGCTACGCCCAGAGAGCCCAAGGCCGCTTAAATAAGGAGTATACCTTGAATCAGAATAGGAACCCTACTATGGCTAAGGCATATTCCTAATTTCAGTGGTGTCGGGCAAACCCTAAGCCCTAAACCGTGAAAAAAGATCCTCAGCCCTAAAGATACAACAATCCTAAACACTAGCAATCCTAGAGCCGTTCACCCCTAAACACGCTGCATCCTAAACCCTTAAAACCCTTAAACCCCTTAACACCCCTGACTCCTAAACCCGACGGTTGATGGTATAAATCCTGCATTACCCATAATCAGGAATGTACCATAAAGTCCCATAGTTTAGGGTCCTTAGGGTAATGCAGGATTTAGATCATCAACCCTAAGCCCTAAAACCCTAAACCCTAAAACCCTAAAACCTAAAAACCCTCAAACCCTAAAAACCCTGATGCCCTAAACCCCTAAACCCCTAAAGCCCTGGCAATGCAGGATTTATATCATCAACCGTGGTATGCCCTAAACCCTAAATCCTAAATACCTAAAACCCCAAACCCTTAAATGGCCCTTAAACCCCTAAATTCTCAACACCCCTGAATCCTAAACCCTACACTACACCCCAAAACCCTAACCCCTAAACCCCTAAAACCCTAAATCCAAAAACCTAAAACCCTAAACCCCAAAACCCTATCCCCTAAAACCTTCAAAGGAACCCTTACAACCCCATAAAACCCAAAACACCCAAATAAATGTAGGTATTTAAAGAGCTCTTTAAAGGAAACCCTTATAACCCCTAAACCCCATATACACCCTATCCACTAAACCCCATATATAACCCCTAAACCCCCTGTAGGGATAAACCCCACCCCTAAAACCCTAAAACCCTAGACCCTGTACCCCTACTGTAGGCTTATAGATCCCTTTATAGGAGCCCTTTTAGATCCCTTTATAGGAAACCCTGAAACCCTGCAACAAACCTAGAGACTCCAATATTCCTTAATTAAGGAATATACCTTAAATCATATTAGGAATCCTACTATAAGTTAAGGAATATTCCTTAATTAAGGGATATTGGAGTCTCTGGGAATGTATGTATGAACCCCAGGGCCGCTGCCCCATGCCCAGGGCATCCTCCGACCAGGGAACCTGGCAAAGCTCCGCCCTTCAAAGGGGGGGGGCGTAAAGGGGGGGGGGGGCTTAAGAGGGGTGTTCAGGGTTTGGGGGTTTTGGTGTTTAGGGTTTAGGGTTTAGGGTTTCGGGTTTAGGGTTTAGGGTTTGGGGTTTGGGGTTTGGGGCTTGAAGGGGCTCTTAAGGGCTTAAAGGGGACTTCAAAAGCTGTGGGGATTTTTTTGGGGAGGGGAGGGCTGAAGGTTTAGGTGTTTTTCGTTTCTTTGGAGTTTAGGGTTTAGGAAGTTTGGGTCATCTTTGGGGGATCTAACGAAGGTTTGGGGAGGTTCGCTGTTGGCTTGTGAGGTGGTTCAGCAAATTTCTAGACTACAAGAAGTTCTCCAGAATTTCGGAGTTTGTGGGATTCATATGAAGGCAAAGGTCACAGGGATAGTACATGTTCTGCCTCAGAAAGAAATTGCAACTGTGTCATAATGTCCAGGTCCTATTCTCACGGCCTCAACATGCGCAGCCCAAGAACAATGTCAAATGTCAACCAAACTGGACACGCCTGAGCACTTGATGATTCGGAGCTGGTCCCTCCGGCAGTTTAAACCAAGGCCCTACAGGTAGAGAAGACCAGCACGCCTGTCCTCCGTACCTGGCTAGACAGGGGAATGAGCGCGCCCACAATAATGTAGGGGCCTCAACAAATAGAATAGGGTTTTGGGGTACATTGTACTACACCCTAAACCCTAAACCCCAAACTCGGTCGTTTATTAAGGCCCCTACAGTTAACGCGGGCCAAAAGAGGAAGGGAGCCCTTGCCAAGTGAAGGCTTCTGCGTCCACGGCCGGGTCTCTGCTCCCATTAGAGCAAAACTTGCAGAAAGCTAGGGTTTTGGGGGGGTATATTATGCTATAGCTATAACAAGGAACCCTAAGAATAATATTGGTAATTATTTAGGCTTCTATTTTAGGGGTTTAGGGTTTAGGGGTTTCTGTACATCAGCGCGATGGGTGCACCGTGTGCGTCAACAGCACATCACCATCATAATTAATGGATTCGATCAAAATCTCCGACTTGCTGATGGTGAGGTCATAGAAGCCATACTGTCCCTCGCCGTACCAATCCTCCGTCTCCTCTGGATTTGGAGTGGCCTCGGAAGTAATGCCACCGCCACCGCCCGTCACGATGCACGTTACGCCCATGTGGTTCTTGGCATAGTCATCCGGGAGCCACAGCTCCTGATCATGTCGGTGTCCGGTCACAAGCAGATCCATCCCCAAATCACGCAAGGACTTGTAGAAGTCCTGCTCATGTCCGCAAGGGAAGTGGGTGACCACAACCTGCCAGCTGGCCTTGCTCTCTCCCATGAGCTTCGTGACCCATGGCTTCTGCTCCGCCCACAGCGAGGCGAACCAGCCAGGGCAGGCGTCAACTGACTCGGGGCCATCCGCCGCGGCGCAAGAGGCAGAGGGCTTGTTGTTCTTTCGGCTGCACATGTTGTGGTTGGGGTCCTCCTCGGGCGGCATGGCATCGATGAAGTTGGAGTCAAGGAAGAAGTAATCCACATCGAAGTCCTGGTCCGCGTAGACAACGGAGGTCTTATAGTAGGGAGCGGGCATGACCCATCGGTTGCTAGCCCAGGTGTAGGAGATCTGCTGATCCCAGCCGTTGTCGAACTTGAAGCCTCCCCAGTCATGGTTGCCCAAAACACTGAACCAGGGCTTGTTGGTGAGGCCAGCCCCTTGATATACACCTTCGAAGATCTGATCGAACTGGTGCTTCGTCGGGTACGAGATCTGATCCATCGGACTCCCACAAGTCTTCTCGATACCGCCCCAGTAGAAGTTATCCCCAACGTTGAGGATATATTGTGGGTCAACGAGCGCAGCACGGGCTTTAAAGGCGTTGGCCACCAACAGCTGTGGCTGGTCGTCTACGCCTGCCACGTAGCCACACTCTGGTGTGCATGGCGCCTGTCCCCGCGTGTTAAAGCACTCCACAAGTTGCTTGTGATCACAGAACTGCACCGTGTGCTTCTTGTTCCAGCGACTCCTAGGAAAGACGCTGGGCCCGGGCCGGCGCCCCCAATCGTAAGCGACGATGGTCTTCCGGCCCTCCGGTGGGTCCAGGGAACCGTCCATGCCGCCCCAGTCTCCGATTGCAAAGATGTGCATCTCTTGGGTTCCATGGATCACCGTGGTTGGCCAGTGCTGACCTTCTTAGGGGCTGAGTACCCTAGCCCAAAAAAAGGTTAACCTTTTGATTATCGTAGGATTACATGAGCCCCCAAAAAAGGTTAAAGGTCACCTACTCAGCCCCTTGGCCTTTGTAGCCCAAGGCGGTCTTGGGAGGAACGCAGCCCACGCCCTTGTCATTCCCGTCGCAGCCAGGGCG